ATGCCTTTCTCTGGCTCATCTTTTCGTCTCCTTGTTCTCTTCTCCTCCCCCTCTTCTCCTTGTTCTTCCTCTCCTCCTCCTCCTTCTAGTATCTTCTATGTGTCAGAGTTTTCTGTTTGTTTGGTTTTCAGGAAGGGGCATTTATTATTCATAGACGTGACTGTAAGCCTAGAAAATCTGGAAGCATAATCTAGAAAGCTCTCAGTGTTCAAAGATAATTTAGTTAGGTTTCGAGTTACATGAGCAATATTTTAAAATATTAAATAATATTAAATTAAAATAATAAAAACTTTCCTGTAGGCCAACAGCAATCACCTTTGGCGTTGTCCTTTTATAGGTGACACCGTTTTCCGCAGGGGTCCACCTGGAGATCCAGGGCTACCAGGTCACCTAGGGCCCCCAGGAGTTCCAGGAGTTCACGGGCCCAGAGGTTAGTTCAATTTCATCATCATTCTCACTCTTTCACCATGATTATTAATACTGATCTTTGTTCCCTCTGAGACAACAAAGTGATTCCAAATAGCCATGTTTCAGGGATAACTTCTTTTCCACCGAATTAGTTCAAAGTATTAATTTATCTGTAAATCTGTAATTTATTTAACACCCCTGCAATATATCGAATAATCCTAGAATGTGAATTTTATCCTTCATGCAAGAAGAGAAACACCGAAATGGTGGATGTTTTTTGTTAAACCTGGAATTTCCTCTCAGAAGATCTGTACGGCTCAACATGATAAAGCAAGCAGATAACACAGAGGAACTTTTAAAATTATGTGCCATATTTCCTAGCTGATTCTTCCCTCCCTATAAATATGTTTAAACATAATAAGTGGTCGTGTGGCTGGAAAGACTGCCCCACCTGAAACTGTGTGCGGATGTGTAGGTAACGCCAACACCTGCTCTCATTGCAGGAGACCCAGGCCTCCCGTGTACGCTGTGTCCTAGCACCCCAGGGTCTCCCGGTCTCCCAGGACTGCCAGGCCTAGATGGAGTAAAAGGAATTCCAGGTACAGACCGTTTGCCTACAAGTGTTTTTTGCAAACACAAAAAGGTCAATGCGAATAGAAAAGATGTCGGATTGCCAGATTTTGTGGTTTACCTGAACATGGAGGGAGAGTTCCAGAAACATCTCTTCTGCTAACATAAATCCAGCTCGAATCACGTGCAAGCTGGTGTTTTTCTCTGTTCCATTTCAGTTGCTGACCTCTAGCAAAGTACCGTGTTAGCCAGGAACTGTAAACACAGATTTCTACAGGGAAGCTAGTAACTTGAAATAGCCATACTAAATCACACACCACTCTTTTCTTCCATAAAAACAAAACAAAATAAAACAAACAAACAAACAAAAAACAAGAAAGAAAGAAAGAAAAAGAAAAAACAAAGCTGTCTCCCATTTCTGTCTTCAAAAGAAAATATCCTTTTCAGTCCTTCTTTTTTTTATCATTTTCTCACTTTTGATAGTGAGCAAATTCACTATTTCGTTTTCTTTTTAAGGATACAAATGCAATCAAAATTACAGCAATGCCCTAAGAGCTGGGGATGATAGAGTGGCGAGGACTGTGGCAAACTGGAGGCCATGTTCAAATGGGCCTTCCAGCCCTCAACTCCAGCCTGCTGTTACTTTGCAGCATTTTAAGCTCTGTGTCAATAAATCTTCCAATATTTTATGGTAAAAAAGACATCAGAAATTTCATCTCAAATCTCGTAGTTCTTCTTTTAAAAATTAGCCACGACACTCACTTTTAAAGGGAAAAGCCATCTCATAAGCCAGTTTTTTGAGGGCTACGTAACTCGTGACTCATTGGCTCTCTCGTGGCCACCTCCGGCTCAGACCAGGATGCTCCACTGCAGCCCTAATGCTCCTGGCTGCCACTGCCACTGCTTAGCACCTCCCCCAGCTTAGCTATGAAACTGGCCATGGGAGAACTTTGAAGTATAAAAGTGGGTTCCTCTGCTCCGTGTGCTGTTCCCTGTCTGCACAGAGCCGTTCCCACGGCACTACATTCCTGGTCCTGCCATCAGCACCTTGGTGTTCAGACACTGCCTTCAAATTACTTCTTGTTAATAAGAGTTTTGAACCAACAGACGGCGTAATGGTTACATCGTTGGATTTCCACATGGTCGGATGCTGTTTGAGTCCCAGATCCAGCAGCTTGAAACTCACACCAGGCTCAAAATCCCGAGAGGAGGATGGAGGGGAAGGGATTGCAATGTGGCCATCCCCTCTGGGGATTTCTTGCTCTCTGTCTCTCTGGCGAGTGCATGCACCCTATAGCAAAAATCTATCTATCTCTAAAACAAAACAAAAAGAACAAAAATCAACAAAATTGGTAAGATTTAAGTTACAGAAGTCTTGGTCAGTGTGCTAGGCAGTGTTCTAAGGGTCTCATGTGCCTCCATTCCACTTTCTTTTTCTTTCTCCTTCTTTCTTCTCTTCCATTTATCTCTTCTGTCTCTCTGTCTGTCTGGCGAGCGCATGTGTCCTATAGCAAAAACCTCTCCAGAAAATTAAAAAAAAAAAAAAAAGGAAAAGATAGAGTGAGAGGCCGAATGAGAAAGCCACCCCATAGGGAGCTGGCCACCCTGCAGTCGTCCTTCTCTCAGGATTTTGGGCACACACACACCATGCTTTATGTGCTGGAGTCATACCCAGGCATTCCCCTCAGAGGAGTCTCTTACCCTCTATGCCAGCATCCTTTGATTGCTGTATTGTCACCTGTCTCCTCTGGGCTGTCATTCCCCTACCTGGCAACGTGGATAGGGAATACCCGGAATGTCTCTGGTCCCACTGTTCAGTAGATACTTGCCTTGGCACAGGGTCTGCTGAGAGGCAGGTTCTCAATCCAAATATCCAAAGTCTCAGAAAATGTGCTCATTGATTCTGCAGTTATACTAATACTTTACAAAGCATCCTCTAGAGAATAGTTGGATACATTTGTAGAACTAAATATCCAGAAATATGTATTATAGCACTGTTTACAACAGTTAACAGTTGAGAAAAAGCTATGTGCCTAAAAACAGCTAAATAAACGATGACTCACCTATGGGATAGGGTAAGCTACACTCACTGACATAGGCACAGCACGAGTCTAAAATAGTGCGCCTCCAAGCCTGATGCATTTATGGATGTGAAACTTCATGACCAATGCACGTTGGAATTTAGCAAATATTAACTTCTGGTGGTAGATTTATGGGTGACTTTTAGTCTCTTCTTTCTGTTTAATTTTCATGTAGTGACCATATATTGTTATTTTGTTTTGTTTTGTTTTTTAATTTTCTAAAGGGCATGAGTGCTCACTGAAGAGAGACAGGAAGGAAGAGAGCCAGAAAGTGAGAAGGGGGAATGGCCACACCACCATCCTTCTCCTCCATTCTCTTTCAGTTTTGGGGGCAAGCATGCACGGACACCCAGGATGTTTTATGAGCCACCAAGTCCAGGACTTGAACTATACAATCAGCCCATTGGGATCCAGCCCCTTGACCATCTTGCCACTGACTGGCCCCATATATTATTTTTATCATCAGAAAAATATATGTCCTTAAAATGATAGAGAAAAGCATTTTTCAGAAGCTGAGTTCGAAGAGCTATAGTTTACTTTATCTGATATTCCAGTTTTTAACCCCATTCTCTTATTGTATGGTATCTTTTATGATAGAAATTGTCTTTCCTTTTTCATAAGAAAGTGTCCTATTTTCTTATGTACTGCTCTACTTTGGCTACTCAGAGTTGGTGTTCAAAGAGTAATTCGTTGTGGGCTGGCCCCGTAACCTAGTGGTTAGGGGAGCTTGATCCCACATTGCACACCATGGCTGAAATTCCAATCCCAGGGGGTCAGCAGGGGTAGAATATTGGTTAAGGCACTGGACTCCCATGTGACTGATCATGGTAAGAGTCCCAGACCTCGTAGCTTGCTTTCTCACTTTCCCTCCTCTCTCTCTCTGTCTCTGGTGAGTGCACATGTACTGTAACAAATTAAATAATAACAACAAAAACATAAACAAAAAAAACACCAAATTCCAACCCCAGCAGCTTAAAAAACACTCTTATGTTTTTCTAACATAATTCCAATGGGGTGGAGAAATGGAGAAGGGACTGTAATGGGACCACATCCCATTGGGAAAGCCTTCTCCCTCTCCCTTCTGGCTCTCTCTGACTAGTGCGCACACCCTCTGGAAATTAAAATAATAATAATAATTAATGTGTTGCTTTGCAGGAGGACAAGGTGCACCTGGCCTGAAAGGAAGCCCAGGATCCCCAGGAAATAGAGGTCTTCCAGGACTTCCGGTAAGATTTCATGGTTTCAAAGCCTTAGCTTCAATTTGGAAAACTGAGAACTCTGGAAATACGGTTGCACCACACCTAAGTCATCAGTTTGGAAAGTAGCAGGTGCTTAACAGATACGGGTTGATTAAATGAATAAGTGGATGATGCATGTATGAATAAGTGAATACATTAATGAATTTATGAATCATCTTATGAGACAGAAAGCATTTACGAGACAGAAAACAGATCGGTTGCTGCTGGGACTGAAGGTGGGAATGGAGATTAAGAGCAAATGGATTTGAGGGAATTTGGGGAAGTGATGAACATGTTTTGACATTGACTGTAGCGATTGTGGCTAAATTCTATAAATACTCTCATTGAATTGTACTCTTACAAAGGATACATGTTACGGCATATGAATTATATGTCAAAAAGTTGTGAAAATATTAATCATAGTGAATCAGAAAGTTAAATGTAGATGAATATATTTAATTATTTAATTACTCAGTTTCTGAAACTTAAAAATATTCAGACATAATCTGAATTACTAATTGTACCATATTAAATTGTATTATTGTGTGAATTGTATTGAGTTGTAGTCATTGAATACATTCCAACTGAATTCATTTCCAATTTTGGAAGTAAAAGCAAAGCAAAAACAAATCAAAAACTTGAAATGGTATTTGTGGACCAAAGAAAGTGTGTCTAAAAAAAGACCCATGTGCACTTAGATTGAAAAGGTCTTGTCGATGCTGTGCTTAAGACTGACGCAAGTATGACCCTGTCAAATCACAGTACTGACTCCTTGTTATCCACCCTAGGGATTCCCTGGTGCTCGAGGTGATCCTGGCCTTAAAGGGGGAAAAGGTGAAACAGCTCAGGCCCAGGGGCCAGCGGGTGCCCCAGGTGATCCTGGGCTCCGAGGGACTCCTGGGAGAAAAGGAGTCGATGGGATTCCTGGAACCCCAGGAGTGAAAGGATCGCCAGGACCTAAAGGTGACCCGGTGGGTGTTTAGCAGCTGCTTTCAGGTTCTGCTCTCTGTAGATGAAGTGCACTGAACTTGTTAGCCACACAGTGGAGTTCGCACTAACTACAGGATGAGGCATCTTTAACTTAGTAATGAAAAGCTAAACAAAATGTTAGAGTATTTTGTCTGGAGGTAGTACATTGATATGTAGGTAGCTTTCTATGATCCAGGCCAATTAAGATTCAAGACTGAATGAAGGTCAGCAAGTGGCATGGTGGTTAAGGCACTGGATCCCCATGGCCAACTATGCCACCCTGCAACTTGAAAACCAAATGAGGCACTTCTGTGTGCTTGCCCAAAATTCCAAGAGGAGAAAGAAGAAGAAGGGATTGCAGTGTGGCCACCACTCCTCCTGGGGCGGGGGTGATTTCTGAATTCTCACTTTTCCTTTCTCTCTCTTTCTGGTGAGCATATGTACCCTATAGCAAAAAAAAAAAAAAAGCCTTCTGTATTGATAGTAACCCTATTTTTCATATGCAAGTTGTAATTTCATATTTGTATATCAGATGAGTTTATGGAGAAGTTCAGAAAATATTTAGCAGTGGAAAACTTTAAGAAATATTTTGTAGGCAATATTAATTTTAGTAAGTAAAAATAAATCATTGGGGCTAGCAGGTGGCGTGGTGGTTGAGGTAGTGGACTCCCGCATGGCCAACTGCAGTTCGAGTCCTGTACCTGGTGGCTTGCTTTCTCACTCTGCATCTCTCTCTTTCTGTGTCTCTCTCTGGTCAAATTGAATAATAATGATAAATGAAATTAAATAAATAATTTTTAAAAATAAATTCATAAAAGAGCAAAATACTAAGAGGAATAGTCAACTTTCTAAAAAATCAAATGTTTTGTCATTTAAAATATTTTAGCTTGGGCCAGCCAGTGACATGGTAGTTAAGGCATTAGACTCCCACATAGTGGACCACAGTTCAAGTCCCAGACCCAGTGACTTGGTTTCTCATTTTCTCTCTCTTTCTGTGTGTGTCTCTCTGGTGAGTGCATGTGCCTTATAGCAAACTTAAATAAGACCAAAATTTTAAAAATAATTTTTAAAAAATAAGGACCAGCAGATGGCATAATAATTGCATCGCTGGACTCCCATGTAGTTGACAGTGGTTTGAGCTCTGGAGCTGGCAGCTTAAAATTCATGCTGGGTGTACGTGCTTGCATGCCCAAAATCCCAAGAAGAGAATGGAGGGGAAGGGATTGCAGCGTGGCCATTCCCCCTGTGAGGGATGGAGGGCTGACTTCTTACTTTCTTTCTATCTCTCCGGCAAGTGTATACACCGTATAGCAAAAATCTCTCTAGTACAATAATAATTTTTTTTTAAAAAAAGGAGCTAAGCTGAAGTTAATTTGTCCCTTTGTGTGTGTATGAGAGATTGAATTTTTCCTCTGTTCTATGAGAGGTAATATCTACCCAGATCTACTTTAAAATGTCACTCAGTGACAGGTTGAGCACCCTGCCAGTGTGTCTGACAGCATTGCAGGGATGCTGCTGTCCCTATTCCACAGAGCAGCAGTTTCTCCCAGAGTTCACCACCATTATCCAATAAAAGGGGTCCCATCCAAACAGGTTTGGGGAAACTAGGTCAATGAATGTAAAGATCCATTTAACGACCCTTTAAAATAGAATGTGAGTTGTGACTCCCCAACACATAGCAATGTACATAGTCTTTCCTAAACGTTTTCCACTACAAAAGACTTTCTGGTTGGGAGTGTTTACAGCACTGGTGTTACTCAGACCCAGTGCTTCAGCTGATCTAGTCGTATCAGAGTTCATATAATGCCCCATTGGCATCTCATTAACTTTTCTTTATTAATTCTGGTAAAGATGCTCCAGAAAGTAAATGAGAAAAGATCTGGAAGGTGATTTGTTGAGTCTCATGATTTGTCATTACAAAAGAAAGAGGGGGACCAGCTGTTAGCATAATGGCTATGTCGCTGGACTCCCATGTAGTCGACCGCGGTTTGAGTTCCGAACCTGGTGGCTTAAATCTCACACCAGGCGCGTGTGTGTGTGTGCCCAAGATCCCAAGAGGAGAATGGAGGAGAAGGGATTGCAATGTGGCCATCCCCCCTGGAGGGTGATTTCTCACTTTCTGTCTCTCTGTCTCTGTCTGTCTGGTGAGTGCACGTGCCCTATAGCAAAAACCTCTCCAAAAAAAAAAAAAAAAAGAAGAAAGAAAGAAAGAAAGAAAGAGAAAGAAAAGAAAGAAAAAAGTCTTCAGTTTCTGACAATACTGACCAATGAAAAAACCCAATCAAATTTTTGTTGTGGGGTGGGGAGGCATTTTGGGGAGGAAGGGATCTTCAGTTACTTTGTCAAATTCAATTTCTTTAAAATATACAACTCATTTTCAAAGTTACCATGTGTGAAATTTTTTAAAAATAGAGTATTTTATTTATGCAAATAAAAGTTTATTGGACTGGTTCTATTTTAGAGACCAGAGGCATGAATATCTCCTCTAAGGTCATTTGAACTCTTGGCCAAATCCAACTTAGTTTTAGAGCTAACATTTGAGAGACATGTGATTGTAGGCTCTCTCAGGTGGGACTCAAATTCATGAAACGTTGCCAAGTTCTAGAGGGCACAAAACAGCAGAAACATACAGTGTTCTTGTTATAGCAGTATTTTAGTAATAGTCCTATTGGATGCCAGCTGCTTTCTTTTTTAAAGATTTTATTGACAAATAGTACAGTGTTCCCGTATACCCTCTGCTTCTACCACAGTTTCTCCTATTATTATTTTTTAAACTTTGTTTTATACATGTAATAACTGCTTTTTAATTCAATGGCAGCCTAATGGGTATTCCTTTTCTGGGTATGATTAACCTGTTGAGAGAAGGGATTGTAATCCAGCACTATCCAATCACGTTCTTATTGTCACAGGCCCTGAGTGGCGTGAAAGGAGACCAGGGTCCTCCAGGGGATCCTGGCTCCCCTGGCTCCCCAGGACCTGCAGGACCAGCTGGACCACCTGGCTATGGACCCCAGGGAGAGCCTGGTCCAAAGGGTACCCAAGGAGTTCCCGGAGCCCCTGGACCACCTGGAGAAGCCGGTTGGTTAGTTTTCTTTCCAGTCCTGTTTTCCTATGGAGTGGGTTGTTGAATCTTAGCACTAGTGAAGCTCCTTTAAGACGAATGAATATATAGGACCTTGCATCTAACAAATGGAGTATGTCAACTCACAGACAGGGAGAAAGAACACATAGAACATGGTAGAGGAAATCTGCTTCTTCCCTGTTACTGGGGAATTCAGCTGATATTCCCTACGATATTCTCTATTACTAGTACAAATACATGGAACAAATAGACCCTAAGGGAGAAGGGGAAGTTCGTTATGATGAACAAAGGGAAGGCAGAGCCTCTGAGACTGATCTTGGCCGCAAGAGCTCACTGATGTTGTAAATTTGTTTTCTGATCCATAACTCATAGGTAGGTTATAAATAAAACTGAAATACCTGAGACCAATAAGAAAAGGGGTCTCACAATCATCTTAAAGTCTAGGTAAGTTTTTGGAGCCACATGTATTGAACCTACATCTGAATTCAAGAGGAATCAGATCCTCAGTGTTCATTTATGGCTGAAGGTAGGATGGGAGATAGAATGGCATGTTGCAGGCAGTGTTCAATAAATAATGCCACCAAGGTCATTTTTCTACTGCTAGAACCCCTATGAAGGGTAAGACCCAATAAACCCATGGTCTCCAAATCCTTTTATGATGTCTCCTTCATCAGTGAAACTTTTTGAGTATACAACCCCATATGAAGGCCTTCAAAAAGTTTGTGGAAAATGTGTGTTGTATAAGAAGTATGCATAAATTTCAAAATTTTCTTGCACTAAAATAAACTCTACTGTGAGTCCATTCTTTTCCACAAACTTTTTGAAGGTTGCTTATATATATTATAAATCAAATGCTGCATTTCTGTCCACACATTTACATATACATATGTGAAATATAAAATGCATATTTCTTTATCTTTATCTGAACTTTACTTTGGAGCTGCTGTTCTAGTCCAAGGATTAGCAAAATCTGGTGGTCCACAGTCTACATTCTGTTTTTGTATGGCCCATAAGCTAAGACTGGTCTTGATATTTTTAAATGATTGAAAAAGAATTTCTTTTTTTTTTTTTTTTGGAGAGGTTTTTGCTATAGGGCACGTGTGCTTGCCAGAAAAACAGAGAGATAGAAAGCGAGAAATCACTCCCCAGGGGGGAATGGCCACGCTGCAATCCCTTCTCCTCCATTCTCTCTCAGGATCTTGGGCACGCCCGCACACGCGCCCAGCATGAGTTTTTAGCCACCGGGTCCAGGACGCGAACCATGATTGACTACATGGGAGTCCAGCGACATAGCCATTACGTTAACTGCTGGTCCCAGAATTTCTTAATAATAATTTGTGGTACATAAAAATTACATTAAAATTTAAATTCCGGTGTGCAGAACTAACTGTTGAGCACAGCCACACTCATTCACTCATATATTGTTTCTGCCTGAGTTCATGCTCCAAAGTCAGGGTCTAGTATTGTGACAAAGATCTGGACCACAACGTACAAATTATTTGCTGTCTGGCACCTACAGACAAAGTTATTGATCCCTATTCTAAGACCTCATGTAAGTCTCTGCTGCTTTTTCTGAAAGCGAATCTTTAGTGAAGTACCCCATTGTCATAAAATATTATAACGTTTTCCCTGTAACACACTGTAGACATTTGTATGGTATAAAGGTGTGAATATATGACAACACAAATCACCAACATATCTCCTCTGTGGGCCACTGTGATCAAAGCATTCTCTGCAATTTATCTGCTGGGTGGGCATTATTTTCCTAATAACAGATAAGAAACTTACCAAAATCTTTTTAAAGATGCCCAAGATCATGGCTCTTAAAAACAGCAGGGCCAGGGGACCAGCAATTATTAGTGTAATGGCTATGTCGCTGGACTCCGATGTAGTCGACTGCGGTTCATGTCCTGGACCCGGTGGCTTAAACTCACTCCGGGAGCGTGTGCGTGCGTGCCCAAGATTCTGAGAGGAGAATGGAGGAGAAGGGATTGTGGCATGGCCCTCCCCTCTGGGGGGTGATTTCTCACTTTCTGTCTCTCTGTCTCTCTGGCGAGCGCACGTACCATTATTATAAAAAAAAAAAAAAAAAAAAAAAAAAAAACTCTTCAAAAAACAGCAGGGCCAGGGCCACCAGGTGGCGTAGTGGTTAAGGCACTGGACTCCCACATGGATGGACTGTGGTTAAAGCACAAGACCTGGTGGCTTCCTTTCTCCCTTTCCCTCTCTCTGTGTGTGTCTCTCTTTGGTCAAATTAAAAAGCAATAATAATAATAAATAAAATAATTTAGAAGAAAAATAGTAACAGAGCCAAGATTCAAACCCAAGTCAGTCATCTGTCATACTTTGTGTTTTACTCAGAGTACTATGCTACCTTCCCATGAAGCCAGTTATCCAATAAGTAAATGTCTTATCAATGTTCATCATTGTGTATGCTTTATTCTGTGTAGTCAATTTGAGGCAAATAGGTTCTCTTTAAATAGATCAGCATGTTGGGCTGTTAATTAACACGAGGTGTAGCCAGTAGTAGATGCTTATGTTTATAAATACTTGTTGATTGAATAAGATACTTTCTAAGGGTTGGTCATTCTTAAGTTAGTATTGGGGTCTGTGGATGTAGAGTATTTTTTAATCTTCCTTAGGATATGTTGATAAATCCCTTATAATTATATTTTTCCCCTCTTGTCCAGAAAACATTTCAATATGCACCCCAGTCTTATGATCACAATTTTTCTTAAGGTCCTAGGGGAGAATTCAGTGTTTCAACACCAGTTCCAGGGCCCCCAGGACCTCCAGGAGCCCCTGGCCATATTGGCCCCCAAGGTCCACCTGGTGAGTACCCCCATCGCCAAGTCGGGAGCATGTCTTCAGGAGCACTCTAATTCTCTAGGGAAAATATCTTCCTTATTATGTGGACAATATATATTCATTAGCTCCAAAAGAGGACTTAGGCCAGAGCTGTCAGATAACAAGCAAGCAGGCAGGGAACTCGCCATTGTCCTTTGAAGTCACCCAAATTATTCCACTGGTGCTTCTGATAGAAAAGTTCCAAAGGAAGAGTGATTATTTAAGAGGAATCCTAGAACAAAGCAATCCTCATGGGGTTTTTTGTTTGTTTGCTTAAGTTAATTTGTGGGCCAGTCCAGTGGCCTGGTGGATCCCACATGGCCAAATGCTTGGTTTGAATCTTATTCCCAGTGGTTTGAAAAACACACTGGGAACTCTGTGTGTACTTGTGTGTGTGTCCAAAATCCCAACAGGATAGAGAAATGGGATTGCAGCATGATCTTGCCCCATTCAGGGGGCAGTACTTTCTTGATCTTCCTTTCTCCCTGTTCTCTCTCTGGCCAGCATCCTCTGGCAAATTTTAAAAATATATAAATTCAATGATAGAGCACTTGTACACAGATGAGAGAAAGAGAAGAACCCCTGGCAGGGCTCAGTCGTGCTATTCTGCCCTTCCTTTTGTCTTCCAGATGCCAGGGTCCTAGACATACACCCACATACATGCCCAGCATCCTAGCATGCTTCCAGGTTGATCTGAGCCAGGACACCAACCTTGGTCAGCACGTGGCTTCCAGCAGCTCCACAGTCTGGCATATTGCTAGCTGTGCCACAGAGACTGGGTCCTTCTTGGATTTTTGAAGAAGCAAGCAATGTTTGCCAGTTGTTAATCAGGATATTTTCCCTAGTGTCTTTCTTTGAAAACTTCAATTTTTTTGCCAATGTGATGTAAAACAAGTTTACATGCATGGAGGGAAACATGTAGTTCAATATATTTAGAACATTTCTTTTTAGGAATTAAATAATATTTTAAAAATTCTAGGTGGCTCCTAGTGATTACTCTATTGGTTGGGTGTGGAAAGGAAGGGTATGCACTTGAGGCTATGTAAAAGTATTTAATTTCTAGAAAAAGCTAAGATGACATAGAGAACATACACATTATCTTTTAAAACAAGATGAAAGAAAGTTGCTGATGTGGGGATTGTGTGTACCTGTTTTTAAGGTATGCCTGGATCCATGGGGAAATGTGGTGATCCTGGTCTTCCCGGGCCTGATGGTGAACCAGGAATTCCAGGAATCGGATGTCCTGGGCCTCCTGGACCTAAGGGTAAGTATAAAAATTTTAATATGTAAGGTTCATTGTAAATATTTAGATGCTATAAATATATATAGTGAATAAAATAGGAAATAGCCATAATATTCTTTATAATGATGTTTTCCAAGTATCTTCAATGGAGAAAAAGTCTTACAATAATATTAGGTGATAAGGCAACAATCACATTGATTCATGCAATCTCACCTCAATTCTATTTTATATAATTCATGAGGAAAAAAAATAAAAGAAGAAAATTTACCAAAATAATAATAGTAGTTCTTTTGTTTTTGTTCTCTTTAAATATTTGTTGTAATTTATGATGTACATATAATCATTACACATCTTTGAAGGGTACAGAATGGATTTTTTTGTTTTTTGGAGAGATTTTCACTGTAGGGCGCGTGCGCTCGCCAGACAGACAGAGAGAGACATAGAGACAGAAAGCGAGAAATCACCCCCCAGGGGGGATGGTCACGCCGCAATCCCTTCTCCTCCATTCTCCTCTCGGGATCTTGGGCACGCACGCACACGCGCCCGGCATGAGTTTTAAGCCACCGGGTCCGGGACACGAACCGCGGTCGACTACGTGGGAGTCCAGCGACATAGCCATTACGCTAACTGCTGGTTCCCAGGGTACAGAATGTCTTAAAAGCATGTATATAGTGTATAACAAACAAACCAAAGATATAAATATATTCACTACCTTCAACATTTAACATTAGACTGTGTTGTGAACATTTGAAACCCACTCCAATGGTTATTCTGAAAGTATATACTGAATTGTCTATGACATTCTTTACTGTGAAGGTACAGTTCTAAAGAAAAACAAAGTGATTAAAAGTCAAGCAATAAATGATCTCATAAAGTAGCAAAGGCAATCTTAACATAGCCAATGAAAGAAGAATTTGTAATTTCCATGTAGAGGATTGTGGGAGATAAGTTTATAATCTGAAAAATATCTGTATCAATCATTGGTCCAGTTAGACATAGATAAAATTGTACATAACAATAGCTCATTAGGAAAAGATTAAAAAAAATAAAAACTTCTACTCATACACTGAGTTCCTGTAAGACCACAGTATTATACTGTGCATAAAGAAGTAAGTCCTCAAAAAAGCAAAAACAAAACAAAATTAGAAAGAGATGTTCAAAAATGAAGACATGGGGAGCCAGCAATTGGCATGATGGTTACATTGCTGGGCTCCCATGTAGTTGACTGAGTCACAGACCTGGCGACTTAAAATTCATGCCGTGTTATGTGTGTATGTGTGTGTGTGTGTGTGCATGTGCACACACGTGTGTGCCCAAGATCCCAGGAGGAGAATGGAAGAGAAGGGACTGTGGCACACCCATCCCCCTAGGGCCGATTTCTCACTTTCCATCTCTCTGTCTCTCTCTGTGTCTCTGGTGAGCACACGCACCCTACAGCAAAAATCTCTCAAAAAAACAAACAAACAAAAAACAAAAAAATGAAGACATGGTAAAACCAATGATTTGGTGATTTATAGGCTTTACAAAGTTCTTGATTTTAGCCTTTTTTAAAAAATTCATTCCAAAGAAAGACTCAGCTATAAAATTTTGGACTTTTCCTCTGTTATCTAGTTTTATATAGTGAGTAATGATTATACTAAATATCAATTGAAACCTGTAGAGACAACTATCAAATAATTGGTAGATTTGTATTTAAACCTGCTTACGTATGAGATAGTTGAATCTTTATTTAGTCCTGACAGTCAATATTATTATTAATATGTATGAACTTATCCTTTTTTAATGTTTGTTTGTGTGTGTGTGTGTGTGTGTGTGTGTTCTCTTACTCCTGTTCGTGTCTCCTTAGCTCTCCTGGTATAGTAGTCCCTTAAATATTTCCCACAGAGCTGGTTTCATTTTGGTAAATTCTTTCAGCATTTGTTTATCTGGGAATGATTTTATTTCTCCTTCCCATTTGAAGGATAATCTTGCTAGGTATAGTACTCTTGACTGAAATTGTTTTTCTTTCCCAGTTTTAAATATGTCTTCCCAAGGCCAACAGGTAGTGTGGTGGTTGGGGTGCTGGACTCACATAGTTAGCTGAAGTTCAGTTCAAGCGGTGACTTGCTTTCTCACTTTCTGTGTGTGTGTGTGTCTTTGGTGAGCACACATGTCTATCACAAATTTTAAAATAATAATTTTTAAAATTAAAGAAATACTACTTTTTAAAAAAAAAAAGTCTTCCTATTCTTTCATTGCCTGCATTGTTTCAGCTGAGAGATCTAGTCTAATGAGGTAACTTTAGTAAGCAACATGGCATTTCTCTCTTGACATTTTAGAATTTTATATTTGTCTTTGATTTTTACCAAATTGGCTGTGATATGCCTTGAAGAGGATCTTCTTATGTTATATCTATTTGGTGGAAATCTGAATGTGGAAACTTTTCCACTAAAATGTTGGGTTTTTGGAAAAGTCATGACACACTTTTGCATAGGAAAACACGTCATGACTTTTCTGACTCAATATTATGAAAGATAATAATATCTTTTTTTATGCCTTTACCTGTCTCTTCACCTTCTGGAATACCCATTATGCAGCTCTTCAGCTGTATAACAGTGTCTAGGATTTTCCATATATTGTCCTCATTCTTAAAGATTATTCTTCTATTCTTTTCAGTTGCTTGGAGGCTTTGCCTTCAAGGTCAGAGATTCTTTCTTCTGTGCTGCCTAATCTGCTGTTGATACTATGGAGGGAGGTTTCAATTTCCCGCATTGTATTTTTTATCTCAAGAAATTCTGTTTTATTCTTTTTTGGTGTGTCTATCTCTTAATGGAGTTCCTTCTTTAAGTCATGGAAGGATTTCTTTTTACAACGTAGAATTGGTTCTCTGTTTGCTCTTATATCTTGTTGAGTATTTTTACAATGAATATTCCAAATTCTTTTTCTGACATTTCTGTGATCTCTTGTGTTTTATCCATTGTTGGTGAGGTGTTATGGTCCTTTGAGGGGGAGGTATTTTCTGATTTTCTCCTATTTCTTGGGGCTCTGCTTGATCTTTAGTCACCCGGTGGTGACTTTCTTCTTCGGAGTGTATTTCTATAGCTATGTGCTCTTGCACTTCTCCATGGTTTGTGTAGACTCTGTGCCAGTTTCTCTCCTTTACTGTAGGTGGGAGTGTGGAATCCACAGCAGGAGTTTTGGGATCAAGTTTTCAGAAGGGAGTTCATCTCCTTTTACTGCTAAGGGAGTTATGGGGAAAGAATTCCCTCAGAGTCTTCTATTTTCAGGTGTTTGGTTCTTGTATACCCAAACATAACCACTCCTAATGTGGATAAAGATTGAGCTGACAGGTAGAATGGAAGGTGGTAGACCACTTCAACCTGCCTGGGCCAGGGAGTCCCTCTTTTCCCACAATAGGCTGGATGGGGCCCCTGCTGATAAACTCAAGCTGAGTAGCTTGGTTTAAGTCTACTTGTTCTTCTATCTCTGGGATTGCAAAGTCTCCCTATTGCTCCTTCCTTCTCTGCAATAGTGATTCTTCTTGAGTGTGAGTCTTATGAGATTTTTTTGGTCACTTTTGAAGAGATGTCTGTGCTTTTTGCATTTGTACATTCTTTTACTTTATAATTTTAATAAGAAAATAAAATTAAGTTAATTAAATTGCAAATAGTTGATCTCCCTATTTTCTCCAAAATAAGTTACGTAAGTTACTTTCCTTTAGAAAATAGTGCTGTTGGGACCAGCATTTGGTGTAATGGCTATGTCGCTGGACTCCCATGTAGTCAACCGCGGTTCGAGTCCCAGATCTGGTGGCTTAAACTCACGCCAGGTGCATGTGCATGCGTGCCCAAGATCCCAAGAGGAGAATGGAGGAGAAGGGATTGCATTGTAGCTCTGCTCCTGGGGGGTGATTTCTCGCTTTCTGTCTCCCTGTCTCTCTCTGTCTCTCTGGCGAGTGTACATGCCCTATAGCAAAAACCTCTAAAAAAAAAAAAAGTAAAGAAAATAGTGCTGTTTCCCATCAAAAATAAATTATTCCCAAAATGTCTACATACTGAGAGCTTAAGCAATAAACTCAGGCTTCCCTGTGACGAGTACATCAAAGTTCTGTCCAGGAAGATATATGAATAATCTCAGTCTCTAGATTGTCACATGTAACTTCAGGCTTTATAATTTCACATTGATGCCATATTATTTTAAATGTCACAATAGAATCCATATTTTGGTGTTTCATCTCTTGGATTAATATGTCATCAATGTATATTATACATCAGTTCTGCCTAGATATTGAAATACTCATTTTTAACTTATGAAAATTTGAAATGGGAAATATCACAATTCTTCTGTAGTCCTAAGAATTACTTTAACTCCAATTTCTCCGGTTCCTTACAACTGATCTGTGAAGAAGAAGTATCGGCAATATTTTTGCCTAGTCTTTCTGGGACCCTGTATTATTTTTTATTTAAAGAATTATTTTATTTAACTTTATTTATTTATTTATTTATTCATTTTAATTTGACCAGAGAGAGATAGAGTGAGAGAAAGAGAGAGATAGAGAAAGTGAGAAAGCAAGCTTCTAGGTCCGGGATTCAAACCACAGCAAGCCATGTGGGAGTCCAGCACCTTAAACACCAGGCCACCTACCAGCCCCAGGATCCTGTGTTATTAAATTGCACCCTAGTTTTGTAACTCTTTGGATTCACTCTCTGGAAAAAGACTGTAAACTATGGGAACTAGGATTAGCCTAAGAGCTACTTGAAGGCAGAGATTTACAACGGAATTAACAGAATTAACTAACTGAAGTGTGAAGGAACTGAATGAAACTTTAATCGAAATAGGGACAAGACAGGACCCTTTGACTGCAGCCTTGCTTTACCAGGGTTTCTTCTTCTGAACCACAGAACATAGAAATTGATGTGTATATCTTCTTTCTCCATTTTTCTATTATAAATGCTTAAGAAGTTAATTCACTACAAGTAATGGATGTTACAGGGTATTAGGACTTAATTCTCTTGAGCAACCCATGTTGAAAAAATCTACCCACAGTGCTGAAAAATCTGTATACTTTGATCTAGGTTGTGCCTGCATGGATATGCAAGGGAAAGGAGGGAGGGGGTGTCTTTAAATAGTTCGTGGAAGAGCCAGCAGATGGAATGGTGGTTAAGGCACTGGACTCCTACATGACTGACCACGGTTTGAGTCCCAGCTTGCTTTCTCATTTTTCTTCTATCTTTCTCTCTGTCTCTCTGGTAAGTGCATGTGCCTTGTAGCAAATTAAATAATAATAATTATTTAATTAAATAAATAACTCTTTTAAAAAAGTTAATGGAAAATGTGTATTATGAAAACCTATCATTTGGGCCAGCCCATGTCCTGGTGGTTAAGATGGCTAGATCTTACATGGCCAACTATACTGTTCTAGTCCTAAACCTAGCAGCCTGAGAAACACATTGGACACATGTGCAAACATGCCCTAAGTTCCAAAAGGAGGGAGAAATGGAGGAGAAGAGAGTGCAGCATGACCATGCCCCATGTGGGAGGTGGTAGCAAGTATACATGCTCTCTGACAAATTAAAAAAAAAGAAAGAAAGAAAGAGGAGAACCATGCATTAATTTCAAAATTTTTTGAATCAAAATAAACTTGTACTTGAGCTGCATTTTCCATGTTCTTTTTGAAGTCCTCTTATATACACACATAAAGATCCATTTAGCAGTGCATTGTATGTAAAATATACTTCAGAAACAAAGCCAATGGAATGGGCAATAGCATCAGCGACATGAAGAATTGCTGAATCAAAGTTGTAGCCATACTAAACAACAAAAATGGATAAAGTATTTTTTCATTAGAAACCAGTGTAATCAGACCTGGAATGGAAATTTTTTAACTGCAAATTTAGCAGTTGCATTTCTCATCATTCAAACTTCCATAGAAACATTTCTAGCTGGTTGTCTCATAAAAACATTAGAACAAATTTGAAAAGTGTTGTTCAGAATCTTCAGTAAGACTAATCCTACACTTTTTTTCCCCCTGCAGGAGACCAAGGTTTTCCAGGAGTAAAAGGATCACCAGGTTGTCCTGGAAACATGGGAAAGCCTGGGTTACCTGGAAAGCCAGGCCTCCCTGGAGCCAAGGTCTGCAAAAATTAAAACTTGGGCTGACACGGGCAATAAGGGGTGACCACAATGGGCCTTCTGGGTGTAGAAATTATCAATGTATTTCAAATTATCAATGTATTTGTAGATACGGAAGATAAGGAAACTTTTTTTTAAGTTTCTTGGACCATCCTCCCTTTTAGAAAGGAAAGTAGATGGTGTTACAGGCAGGATTGTGTCTCTATTCACAGATTACTTCATAAACATTAAATGCATTTAAGATGGAGGAACTCTAGAAAGAAACTCTAGAAAGCTGTAAGAAAGCCATCATGAGAAAAGCTATCTAAGCTTTCTAGGTGTTTTTGTTGACAGACAACTGCACATCTTCTGAGAAAGTGGAGACTATTTATCCTGAAGGACTATTAGGGCTTCCTTTGTAGAAAAGTTGACAACAAGAGTTGGGAAAGGAAGTTGATAGAGTGTTGGTGGCTGTGCAGAAATTACTTAGAGCTTTCATAAAAGAGAGATTACTTTCAAGTAAATAGCCCTAAAGACCAGTCACCAATCAATGAAGATCTGAAGTGTTTTACAGTAAAACTAATGTGATTTCTGTGCTACAGGGAGAACCAGCACTAGCCATGCCTGGAGAGCCAGGAGCACCAGGTTTTCCAGGAGAAAGAGGCAATCCTGGGGAAAATGGAGAAATTGGACTCCCTGGACTTCCAGGGGGACCTGGAAGTCCAGGAAATGATGGGCTTGATGGACCACGAGGTATAGCAAGTGTGACTGCTTTTCTCCACTGTGAGTTCGGCTAAGAGGCAACCAACTGAAAGTGCAGGCACTCTAGGGGCAAAGAATTCTTCACGAATAAACTTCTAGTTCAGTCAATAGAATCTGTAGGGCCTGTTCATTTTCCCATGCAGTGTTGCTGCTCTACTTTTCTTTCTCCTTTCCTTCATTCTTCCTTCCTTTGTTCCTTTTTCATGACTGTCCTCTATAAAAAGCATATTAATGGTATTAAATGTAGATATGATTTAGGTGGGGAAATTACAGAGGAATTGGATAATAACACAAGGATCTGGGGTGTGAGCATCTGGATGTACCTTTGGACATTCTTTTGCAGGAGATCCAGGAAAACCTGGACCACCAGGACAAAAGGGACTCCCAGGAAGGTGCCTAGAGGGTCCCAGGGGAGCCCAAGGACTTCCAGGCTTAAACGGGTTGAAAGGACAACAAGGTAGGAGAGAGAGAGAACTGTTTACACAAAATCACAAAGCTAAGTATTTATAGCCATAAAATATTTCTGGAGTTGTGGGGAAGTTATTTATTGTTGACTCATTCCTACATTCATTCATCCATTTGTACGTAGGCAGAAGAGGTGAAATAGGCCCAAAGGGAGACCCTGGGATTCCTGGTTTGGACAGATCAGGATTTCCTGGAGAACCTGGACTGCCAGGAA